CTCACATTTCAAGAAATCTATGTTTAGTGCGTATAATGGCCTAGTCACTGACCATGTAGCTTCTTTCCTCCAAAAATGAAGCTTCTGTACATAATTTACCTACGATGTGCACTAGTTTCTTACTACATGCTGTCTTTACTTGAATGGGATCTCAGCGCCTACTGGAGAAAATACACTGTTTTGAGCCTCAAAGTCTGTGGAAAATAGCCCAATGTAGAGTACTGGCTACATCTAACATCATGGGCAGTTGTTGTTACTGACCGAAGTCTAACTTTGGGAAGGTTGTTAAGCACTGGAGAATGAAACACATCAGCCCTGTGTCTATGTCACATATGCTATTCAACTTTTCAATGCATTCGTCATTTATTTTTCAACAGGTATTTATTGCTAAGTGTTAAGTCTAGATTAAAGTACACATCTGCAGACAGTGCCTCTTAGCCTGCACATAGAAGCTGCTCTTACATATTAAGTCTGATGCCTTTCATTTAATCTCTGGGTGTCATTCAGTAATTTCTATTCATACCTTTTTAAGCAGTTCATTACTGGTCTACTCAGGGGCCAAATATGTAAGCGGTGGGCTTGAATACATGGGAAAAACTGACCCTCAGTGCCAAGGAGTTACCATATTAAAGTGCCAAATTAGCCATTTCCTGTAACAGTTTTCAGGCTAACTTTCAGTAAATGACTTTGTCCATGTGTTTATTATTCAGATGTAAACCCACTGACTTGGCATGAAAATGACATTACAGTGCTGTAATCACAGACTAATCTTCTACAGCGACAACCACTACATGCCCAAACTGTGTCCCTCTAACAGGACTTCTCCACGTTCAGAAGCAGCAGCTTGTGAGCAACTTAATTCAAACTGTGTTACGTCACCCACTGCTGAGGGTAACACTGACAGGCACTGTTTCTGAAAATCTCCATGCAACTCCATAAAATTCAGAGCGTTTTTTACCAAATGATGACTGAATGGGAAAGAATGCACTGAAATAATAGAATTGAACTCAATACAAAATAAAATCACTCTTATCTTGATTGCTAACATTCTCTGTATCTAAATGTAACATACTCCTCGAGGTCTTCATAGATCATAGAATCATAGAATCACAAGGTTGGAAACGACCTACAAGATCATCTAGTCCAACCATCTCCTCATCACCACTGCCACCACAAGCACTAAACTTGGGGACAAATTCCCCTTCTCTCCATTCAGTGTGTGATAACCGTATTTTATTGCATCTGTTAAAGCATAAATACTGTTGTCGTGCCTATTGATAAACAGTTTTCTCTATCTGATCAGACCTACTTATTTTAGATTGCAAGTGGTTTTAGAAGATGAAGATCTTAAAACGTGAGAGTAGCTTAGTAACTTGTGAAGGTAAAAACCCGCCAAGAAATTTGAAATTCAAGCTGACTTTGTCAGCCTCGCATCTTGTGTTCTGACTAAGTTGTAGGTTGATCTTGTGCACCATGGCATTGCTTACAGTGTTCTTGAGGAATCCTGAGGTGGAAACAAAGTAACTTATGATATCACTTCACTGTCTCTGGCTTCTATCAGCACAAAACTACGTTTTTGGCTAGTGTTATAACACAGGTGCCCTGAACTACTTTTGGCTTTTCTGAGGAATCAAGCTGATCGATGGAGAAAGCACAAGACTTCACTCTTGATTTTTGTTATTTTTGTAGCTTTTCATCATTAAAAATGTATATCGTTAATATTAATCACAGAAAAAGAAAATCCTGTAGGTTTACATTTTATTATTTTATAGAAGCCATGCTTAACTGATGTTATAATTGAAAAAAAAAAACCCAGCAAATCAAGTCATAGGATCCCAAGCGTATGTTTGCTGTCAACAAAGTGACAGCAGGACTCTCCGGGACTTCAATTAGTATTAGACTGTAGTCTTCATATTACCATTTAAAAGTATTCCCCTCCATGTCCCCACATAAATTATTAAGCTATTCATATTCAATAGGATAGAAGTGTGAGATGGAAAAGTGTGCATTAAGTATCTGACAAAGTGATCAAAGAAAGACAATTCTGAGAGATGTCACTCTGGCTGATAGGCGGGGGGGCTGTCTCTCTAAGTGCCTGGTCATTTTGTATCTGATCACTGCTTGTGTCAACAAGAACCAGAAATCTTCCCTTCTCTATTCCAATGATTATATAACAGAGAACGATAAGAAAATAATCTTTCAGTACACTGCAAAAAACAAACAAGCCCAACAGAAAACCTAGGAACTGATGTCTAAGTGCTTATGTATTCAGCTGTTGCTCTCCCAGTATCTTCCTGAATGTTCTGCTTTGCAAGAGTCAGTTAGGGAAAAGCATGTAACTAATGATGAAATTCTTTATCTGGATAAAACACTTTGTTCCAGTAAGCAGCATTTTCCTCTCTTTTTAGCTTTTATTCCACAAATTAATCAAATAGCTGCTGTTTTCCAGCAATTCAGACTTGTCATATAAATACATTTAATTATTGCATAGTTAGCTGTATAAGATAAAGGAGTTCTACTCAACTGCCTTTCCAAGAATATCCGAATTTTCTAGCATTTTAAAGTGCCTATTGAACTAGCAGAAAGCTAAGTCAATGATCTAACGGAGAAAAAAATAAACAGAAATACATGAGTAGTGGTCCAAATTCACACTGTATTTTCTGAAACACAGGAAACTAACATTAACTCCAGATTATAAATAAAACCAGGTAGCTGATTGCTTGTCTGATTGGTTCTTCCTGTGGGCATCTTTCATACTTAAAAATTCTCGCCTTAACATATAAAAAAAATATTCTGAAGTCATTTAACATTTCATATATCAGTGCAGCTATGACTTAAAACAGTAGATTATATCGTCAAAAAATTGCACCAATTAATAAATGTTAGAAATGGAAGCAATTTGTATTGAGGTCATAATAAAGATTCAGTACACAAAAAAATCTTTATATGACTTAATTCCAAGCCAAATAGATTTCTTTCGACCTCCTTGCAGCTGTACTCTCATTCTTTAAAAGGAAAATATATGCTATATAGAAAAATAACTTCTTTCCATTCTTTGAAAAAATTAACAAGATTTTGGCAACGGAAGCATGGTTATGCATCATAATGACTAATAAAAATGGTTATCAGCAGAAAAGGTTTTCACAGGTGCAGTGAAATTCAAAGCCACGTGACTTAATTCTCTGCTCCATCAGAAAACCTCTGAGAGATCAGAGATATGAAGTTATGAAAAAATCCTGAAGATCTGCTGTAAATTCAAACTGCTGCTCCGGAAAAAGGTTCTTTGCTTTTAGGAGCTCACATGTGCCAACAGGAAGCAGCTTCACACTGGGAGGAAACCATGAGGCTTTGAGGGAAGCAGTGTCTTTCAGACACCTCAACCTTGTGTTGTACACACCATACCTGCTGTAACCACAAAACTGCTAATCTGTCTCCTTCTGCCTTTATCACCAAATGATTTTAGACATATACTGAGGAGAAGTAAAGAGTTCATGTTGTTATGTGAACAGGGACTGGTATACTTCACTGATGTTACCTGAGCTACAAGAGATGAAGCAGAAGTCTTCCTTTACTTTCCCTCCAACATCAAGGACACAAAGAAGTTCTTAACAGTTGCTACCCTCATTCAATTCAGGCAATTCCTGTCTTTATTTGCATTCTCTAAAACTTCTCTGATATTCACGAATACACATCAAATGAATACAAAAGCCTGACACAGTATCGCTACAAGATAACATGGGCTCCAGCTCAGGAAATTAATAAGCATTTTGTAAACTCTTCTGAAATTAAAACTCTGACTAGAGTTTTATTAACTTTAAGACCTTTGGATCTGAAAATCAAATTAGATTTCCCCTCACCTAGTAGGGAAATCTACTCCTCTCACATAGTAGGCAGTCAAAAAAGACACTTCATTCCATGTCTTGTAATTTGTACTTGTGGAACAGAGAGAAGAAAACGATCGTTGATCTAAATTAATTAAACACTTTTCTCGTTGACATGTAGGTGGCTTTTTCCCATCAGTTCATTTGCTGGCTAAGAAATTATTGTTTGTTCCCCTCGTTATCAACTTTCACAGCACCACTAACAAGGAGCAGTGTAGAAAATCATGCATTTTGGTCAACAAAGCCAATAGGTATGAGTGCAAATGTACATTAGCATCAGAATTGTTTACGAAGGAAGAGTTTTATTAATTTTCAAAGTATAACTGCATTCCAAGCTTTGAGCTGGGTTGAAGGGCCAGTTTTGGAGGAATTGGAGAACTCTTCAAAAGAGATAAAAATTTATCTCTTCCCTCATAGCTGTCTTCATTTGAAGCCAAAAGACATTTGTGTTCATTTCCACTAGAATTTAAAGATCTATAACACGGAAAACTTGTTCTGATAGCAATAATTGCAGAAGAGGGCAGTTCACAGCCTTCTTTGTGCTGGAATAGTGGTGGTGATTCTCCACAACTTGGTTCAAATTTTGAAAGAAAAGAAGAGAATCGTAGAAGTGTCAAACAGAACATGTTTTTGTAGTTTTTGTAAGGATCATGGGAAACTGATTCTGAGAATTCAGTCAACATTATCAGGATAACTGCTCTGTGCATACCTCGAGTCCTATCTTCCTTCTTCAGACACTGCTATAGGAGAAACCACCATTCAGCATGGAAGCGTTGAAAGTTCTCACGGCTTAAAAATTTCAGGAACAGGTTATCTCAGTTACTTTTAGAGGGAAATCCTATTTACTTTTTGAAATTATGAAGGTCTTTGGAGACAACATCTGATAGCTAATCGTTTTTGACCTATATAGGTAAATTTGAAGAGAGGGTTTTCTGTACAGAGCTCTGTACACTTACTACCTGCACTGCTCCTTTAGTCCTCCCCTTGGAGCAACTTATCTGCATGACAAAATACCCTAGAAAGCCGAAGTTATTGTAAAAAGAATAAGGAATCAGATGTGACATCCTTAAACAAAACAAACAAAATCATTAATTTATCAACAGTCTTAAAAAAACTTACCTTTAAAATTTGGTCTGATTCTAGCATCATACCCTGATGTCCTCCCCATCAGTTTGTCCAAAAAATCTGAAGGAGACAGGGTCTGTGAGGGGGATTTTCCAGATCTTGAATCATGTTCTTTACAGAAAGTCGTCCTAAATAAATTATTAGCCATCATTAGTTAGTATTTAGCTAGTAAATACAAAATTTAGCTAGCTAGTATTTAGCCACTTAGCTAGTATTTCATTCAAGTCAGGGAAAAAAATTATAACAATGAATAACATTGTCTCAATTAACTGAATGCAGCAAATAAGATTTTTATAGAATGATATCATATATTTTTCATTAGAAAACTTTATGCTAGAAATAAAAATGAATTTTGGATAGCATGCATGCACACATTTTGCTATTCAAAACAAACCCCTTCCACTTTAAAAATAAATGTATTTTAGCTTTAAAAATTTAGAAGACTCAGTCTATTTTTTTAAAAAAATGTGTAAAGAAATCTTACAGGAATTTTGATATCTAACTCATATCACTGATTTAATTAGAAGTATATTTTTAAAATTTATGCCTTTTAGCACTGATTCAAGGTGATTGTAAACTTCCAAACAATAGGAGTCATCACTCATCCAGGAGATCTGCTACATGTTGGTTTTGTGAATATTAGAAAGGACGTAGATGCAAAAAAATGTTCTTTATAGATGCCACTTAAAGAAGATTGAAATCATGCTAGTGAATATCTGACTTCTTCACCAGGAAAAAAGGTTTCAGTCAGTCATACATGATCTTAGTGATTTGTTTTGGTCTTTTTTTCACCAATTAACATCAAATAGTAAATGATCAGTATTATCACCAGCTGGTATTTATATGCAAGCTCCTGAACATATGCCTGTTTTCAGATTTGAAAAGTAAACTTCTGGTACCAGACTATGCATATGAAACTTCATATAGATAACAAATTACATACTTCAAGCACAGTAAGTATTTCAGAAAAAAAAGAATTTAACAGTTCCCTCAGGTCATTCTGTAGGGAAAATAAACTAGTAATGAAATAGTCGTATTTGGTGGGCAGAGGCACAGATTTCATCACAAGCAGCACTATCTTGGTTCCTAAATAACCAATATCATGGTATCTGTGCTTCAATATATTCATTGAGCTACTAAAAGTAATAAAAGCACTGTCTTCTTAACTACTCTCTATTTAAATATTTGCCCAAAGGGAACCACTTCATTTCAGGAGTCTTGTTCTTTGTTGTGCATTTACATGTAAGCATATTAAATAATACTAAATAACACTAAATTCTTTCTCTTTTTATAAAGCCATCCAAACTGCTAAAAGGCAATGTGACAGTAAATCTTGTAATGCTATTCCCCACTTTTTCAGTTCCATATATGGGGGAGGAGGGAGGGAGTTGTTTTTTTTTTTTTTTTTGCTTTTGTTGTTGGTGTGACACTCTTTTATCTCTAATTTTTAATATAAAATAGATGGTGTTTGCCACTTAAATACTAGAAATGTTCAGATAAGATAATAAAAACTTGAAAACTAATCCAGTCTAATTATTTTGGATGATACTCTACAGTCTACTTCTGTCTCCTTTCAGTGTCCACTAGTGATAAGTTGTGCTGTCATCTCACGTGTGCAAACTCGTGAATACAAACATTTTTTTTCACTCAGACACTGTATACATACGTTATTACACATATAAAAGCATTCTGTATGTTTACATGTAGATACATGGCTTTGTACATGAAGATAAGGAATCTCAGCTGAAATGGTGTTTTGGTGAATAGCAATGACTTGTTTGCCTTGTATCGCAAGAAGTCAGCAGCTGAAGCAAAAACTCATCAAGCGTTAGAAATAAAATAAAAAGAGAAAATAAAAATTAGAAGCAATAATCTGATGTACTGATACTTTATATTAGCATAGTACTGGTTTAATTAGGTATCTTTCCAAAATCATAAGACTGGATTTCTAATTTCAAATAACCACATCCCTGACAAATCTGGTTGATCATTTCCAGAGCCTGAAGAGGAGGGAACCAAAGCAACTTCCTACATAAGCTCTGGAGGGAGTACAAAGATTAAATAGCATTTGGAAGAAAAACTGAAGAAACTGTTTTCAGCTATATTGATAATCAGTAACAAAGCATGTAGTTGAATCAGAGAAATGGAAAATAGATCACCCAAACTTGAATATTTTTTGGTGTTTGTTACCAAGCAACGAGTCTCTGAGTGTAAAAAGGAAAGTCTATATAGAATGAACACAAAGCACTCTCAAATATAGCAAACAAACTAGGTAACGTGATATAGTTTCTCTACAGTTATGATGTCCACATTCTTTGAGAAATATCATTACAAAGAGCCATATCACCTACCTGAAATGGTTTGTCTCTAAGAAAAATGCAAACAAGGTTGTCAAAATTTTCACTAGCTGCCGGTTCATTCCTCCTGCTTTCTGTGTTGATTTGGAAAATATCCCAGAAACGATTCCAGAGAGATGCAGGGAGAAAGTATGCTGGTGCTGCCTAGATTCCCAAATTCAGCAATAATTTATTTTTCTTGACAATCAGGAAAAGAAGGTCTGGATCTCTACAAACTGGGGATAAAAAAGAAATGCCAGTCCTTGGAATCATGGTCAGGTCAAGCCTAGGCTCATCTCCAGCAGCCAACAGAAAATATACAAAGCATCAGACCTGGTTATTCCCCACCTTGCTTTGACTGGGTGATGAAGAAAAAAAAGAAAAAAAGAAAAAAAAAAAAAAAAGAAAAGGAAAAAAAAAAAAAAAAAAAAAAAAAAAAAAAGAAGAAAGGAAGGAAAAAAAGAAGAAAAAAAAAAAAAAAAAGGAAGTAAAAAGAAGGGAGAACCCTACTACCCAAAGAGCATCACCCAAAGGGGAGTAAGCATTGAGAGCAAGCAGTCTGTTGCCGGTGTGTTTTTTATTCCCCTTTTGCTTTGAAAAGTAGCATTTAGGAAGGGTGGTGGGGCTACTGGCTCGCTCTGTTCCACTCCCCCGTTGGCAGGGAGGTGTCTGCGCTGCCGTGCGGGAGTGAGCGGGCGGCGGGGGCTGCGGGGAACCCCAGCGCCCGTGCTGGAATGAGGCGGGCGGGAGCGCACCGCGCTATAAATTCAGCACTCGGACAGCTCCGCGCCTGCCGCTGCGCATGCGCTTGGCGTCCGGCGTCTGGGAGGGGAGAGGCGCGCGTGTCTGTGCGCGCGTGGGGGTTCTGTGTGCGCGCGTGGGGGGGGGGGCGCGCCCAGAAGGCGAGTGGGAAGGTTGGTGGCACGGGGTGCGTGTGCGAGGACGGCGTGTGGCATTTTGTGCGCCTGGGTGTACCTGAGCTGCGAGAGGGGAGGCGCTGGGGGTGCGTGTGAGCGGTACGTGCTGGGGCGGAGAGGGGCTGGAGCCTCAACCCAGTGGCTGGGGGAGAGCGGCCCCCGACACCTAGGGCACTGCGGGGTTTGTAAGGAGTGGAGTGGGAGTGCAGGGGCGAATGGGATCTGGGGAGCCCGTTTGCAGTTGTCCTGTGGTGTAGAGAAGAAATTGATGGCTTTGAGCTTTCATGGAGGTGGCTCTATCCCCGCACCCTAAAGTGCTAGTAGCATCATGCTTTTCTTTTTACACCTAAGGAACTGAAGCACTGGCAGCTGAAACAAGGATCACGGTTACCTGAGGTTCCTTGGGTACCTTGCAGACCTTGTGTACCCTCCTGCTCCCCAGCGTCCCCATCCTTTATCCTTCACACAGCACTTCCCACAGCCTCCACTGCTCACCGACAGCTCCTCATGTTCAACCCAGACTGATGGTGGGGTATCACATTGTTTGAAGGAAGTCAGGGTGACTTGAAGCCTCTGAAACACATACGTTGGTGGGTGGAAACTCTGTTCAACCCTTAAAGTGTTTTGTTAACATGATTTTAAATGGGAAATCTCATCTAGTGAATTTTGGTGAACTAAGTGCTTCCCTCTGCCATCCTTGTGATTTCTCCTCCACTCACCACCTGCTCTGTCTGGCCAGCCTGACAAGAATCTGGACGCTTCCACATTGGTGTAGTTGGCCTGTTGGAAAATCCTAAACTTTGTGAAAATAAGAATCAATTCCATTTCAAATCAAATCCATTTCAATATTCTGAAATCCAATTCAGACAAAAAACAAAAACAAAAACAACAAACAAAAAAGGCAGTTTTCTCCCAGTGCACACACACATTCTCTTATCTCCCTGGAAAAAAACTGACACTTCACGACAGAGACTCTTACCACATTTGTAGTAATATTCAAAAATTCCTTCTGAACTTTATTGGTTGTTTTCCGACATTACCAAGAGATCAAAGCCACTTACCGTTCATTAAATGAAACTCTGTTAAAGCATTTTGTTTATTTTAGCTTAACACAATAGGATATATCTGAAAAAAACCTCCACATCTCACTAGCTATTCATAGGTGCAAATGGTAGATATCACAATTTAGGCACAGCAAAACAAAGGAAGAAGAAATTAGTAGGAAAAGTCCAAACGTGCGAACCTACATCAAATCCTTACTGCCTTGCCTGCTGAGTCTGTGTCAGTAGCACAATGAGAGGTCCAACAGAAGAAAGGCCACAGACTTTGCCTTTATTGAAATTATGAAAGTGTTGTGGTAAGAACTGGGAGCTGGTGCTGACTCACGGCACTACAACATCCTCCAGCCTCACTGGAAGACAGTTCTTCCTGCTAACATGGTATTAAAGAAGAATTATGTATCTTACTGCAGTCTCATTCTGAGAAAGAAAGCTCACAAAGCCACATCTGGAAACAATAAAAGAGTTTTGAGTCAACAAAGACATACTTTCCAAATTTTTTCCTAACCTTATCTAGGCAGGAACCCAATAAAAGTGCTATATATTCTTACCTTTCATTAAGATAAATGGAGAGATTGGAGAGCAACAATTTCTATCTGCTGCTGGAAAAACTATGTCTTTTTAACCGACACTGCCACCTGCTTAAAAGAGTGGGGAATCTCAGGAATGCTTGTACAGTTCCCAGTGCAGAAATCAGAGCAGGTATCTTTCAGATGATGCTGTTCACATGGATTTTGTGATATTGCATGCTTTTAAAGGTCTGTAAATGCTCATTACCTTTCTTGTTAAAAAAAAAAAAAAAAGTAACTAAACATTTAAAAAGTTTTCTAACTAGAGAAAATCTTCTTGAAAGTTTTCCTTCCAAAATTTAGCTGCTAGCAGCCATTTCCTTTCACAGCTGTTTGAAATGCTAAATAACTACAATTCTGAGCTTAAAGAAAGCAAAAAAAAAAAAAAAAAAAAAGGTTGCAGGAAGTACTTTAAAATAGCCTGCCTATAATTGCCATGGGGGTTGTAAAAACATGATAGGAGATGTAATAATAAGAATTTTGGGTATCTGCTCCGTCATTCATAACAACCTCCAGAGCCCAGAGACTTCAGTAACATGTTAATCAGCACAGCAGTTATGTGGAAGTGCTAAAGAAAACTTCATAAGGTCTTGAAAAAGGTGATTTACTGATACAGACTTCAGGTACAATCTGCTCAGCCTGGAGAAAAGGAGGCTCAGGGGACTCTTTCGGATGTCAATAAATACCTGAAGGAAGGGTGCAGGGAGGATGGAGCCAGGCTCTTTTCAGTGGATTCCATTGGCATGGCAAGAGGCAATGGGCACAAACTGGAACACAGGAAGGTCCTCCTGAACATCAGGAAGCATTGGTACATGCTGTGCAACCTCCTCCTTGGAGATGTCCAGAAGCTGCCTTGGCTGTGGGCCTGGCACTCTGCTCTGGGTGTCCTGCTGGGGCAGGGGCTGGGCCTGATGTACCCAGAGGTACCCTCCGACCCTGACCACTCTGTGATTTTGCAAACTGCAATTTTCACCTGAATAACTCTCTTCTTAAAACATTCAGGGCTCAGACAAGCTATTTTTTCTAACCAGAGGGCTCCAGGTTTCACTCCCCTCTGTAGATTGGCAGAATGATTTCTTTGCATCCTTTACCCATTTTCCATGAACTGGAAAGCATGCAGAAGTTCCTTCAGTCATTCTTTCAAAAGTCTCTCCTTACCCTCTGCCTATTTATTTATTTATTTTTCACAATTGCTCTTCCTGGTGGAAGCCTCTGTAATCTCTTTGTTGTAAATCATCCACAATCAAACACTGTCTTTAAAACGTATGGCCAATCGTGAGGAATGAGCTACAGCTCTGTGGTTCAGGGGAAATCATTTGGAGGCAGTGTGCCTGGGTGTCCACAGCTCTCTCCTCTGTCCCCCAAGTGTTCAGGAATGGGAGATGCAAGTAACACAGACATCAAAATGCAGCAGTTTGTGCATGAGCTGTGTAGGTCCTGATGCACAGATGCAGTTCTTTCCAGTGTCACTCATCTGTTATCTCTCACAACACATTTCTGACAGCTAAAGTGTGACAAATGGCAGTCATGGGCTCCTGTACAGGATGAGGTGGGGGGCTTGCGGTAAAATGGTGAAGGAATGTGGAAGAAGAAGAGAGAGAAATGCTTTTCTTCCAGGGAAGAGACTAAGTAATGTATCCTTACAGTTCTCCAGGCAGATACCTAAGATTAATAAGGGAACTAAATATGATATATTATGCCAAACATGGATTAATTCAGTCATCTCTCTATTCTACTTGATTTTCTTAAGCACTAACTGCTGATCAGAAAATAGGACAGAATCACCCGTTTCCATGTAAATAATTTTCTAACAGTTAGTTGATGGCACATGATTTATATTTGCATTGAATATGCACTTTTGGAAATTCAGAGAAATGGAAGAAACAAGGTCATACCACTTTCCCAAATTATGACAAATAATTTATCAAGGAGCACACCACTGAAGAAACAAAATCCATCACTTCAAGTATGCAATTAGTGTCCATAAGAAGAGAAAACTCAATATAACTTTTGGCATGTCAGGTTATGATAATTGTCAGATGCTTGTAAACAAGGTCAAGTGCATTTCAAAATACTGCCAAACATACAAAAAATAGATGGAGTACAGAGAATGTAAAAGGCCCAATTATATTGGAAGTAAAACAAACAAAAAAGCCCTGAAGGTAATACAACATGACCACATGATGAACTAGGGACAAGAAACTGATTGGACTGTCTGCTTTTGGAACTGTACTACAATAAATTATGTAAAAGATAAAACTGTTTTTCTTTAAGTATTGTGTTAGTAAGAAGTCCCTTGTCAATAAATGAAGTGATGCCATTAGCTATGTCAGGACAGTACAATAGCTGGGTCTTCAGCTGAACAATATAAAATAAAAGTATGTACTTCAAGTATTTTTATACCTGACATTAACAGATACAACAAAGCATTTGTCAATACAGTTTGGTTTGGCATGTACTTCAAGTATTTTCACATCCTTGATTCTTTTTTTCTTATTAATTACCTGAGTGCCATTAAACTTTTAAAAAAATACAAAGTTCTCATTGTTCTCTACTACATTTTTTTTCTTTTTAAATAATAATAAAGATTGCTGGAAAGAAATTATAGTAAAATTGTATTAAATTGAATTATGTATAATACATGCAATTTTGTAGAGTACACCTCCTATACATGAATTTTGCTTTCTGAAAGTTTGTGTGTATATATATATATATAATCATAAAATCACAAGGTTGGAAACGACCTACAAGATCATCCAGTCCAACCTTCTCCTCATCACCACTGCCACCACAAGCACTAAACCATATCACGCAGCACGTCATCCAGACGCCTCTTGAACACTGCCAGGGATGGCGACTCCACCACCTCTCTGAGCAGCCATTCCGGTGCCTGACCACTCTCTGAGAAAAAGTTCTTCCTTAAGTTCAACCTAAACCTCC